CACAAGGTGGCGCCACAAATACAAAAGCCCATTGGGTGTCTATTACCAGAATGCTAACAAAATTAGCACAAGTAATAGCAAATTTATATTGAGGCTGCTAGCTAAGTCTGTTAACGAGCACAAACGAAAATAAATGAATTGCAAAGACAGGCAATCTAGTTCATAAATGTACACTACCGGTCAAATGTTTTAGATCACCTACTCATTCAAGGGTTTATCTTTATTTTTACTATTTTCTACGTTGTAGAATAATTAAATAACACATGGAATCATATAGTAACCAAAAAAGTGTTAAACAAATGAAAATATATTTGAGATTTGAGATTTTTCAAATAGCCACCCTTTGCCTTGATGATGGCTTTGCACACTCTTGGCATTCTCTCAACCAGCTTCACCTGGAATAATTTTCCAACAGTCTTGAAGGAGTTTTCCTTCACTCTGTGGTCCGACTCATCCAAAGGGCTTTGACATCTCAAACACTGCAGAAAGCTAACACAATATGATGCCCCGTCATCTTATTAATTCAGCCACTTACTAAGATAACTAGCAAGTTTAACTTAGGGGTCGCATTAATGCAGAATTCAGCGTTTTTCACGCAGGATTTTATTTTTAAACGCATAAGAAATCTCTTGCTGCGTTTTGTAAATGCAGATCTAAAATTGTAATTTCTGCTCAGCATCAGACTGATTTTGTGCTTCAGTTGCACGTCTCCACTCGGATGAGAATTCACTAACAGGCATTCTATCACCAGACCCGTGCTCTGACTGATGTGTTGCTACTTTTCTCTGGTACTTTTCTCAGTGTAGCCATCCTACTTTTCTCCGGTAAAATGCAAGATTAACTTTAAAACATTAGGGAATGTAGCTGGCTACATTCTTTCTATGATAAACATTAGAAATATGATGGCCATGCATTATTCTAGCAAAAAACACCTTGCTTTTTCAATGTAGGCTCATTTACTTGTGTGGCTGCCAGCCAAATAGTGTTGCACATCTGTTGTCATCTGATGAAAATGAAGATATTTTCTGCCGAATGTGTCGCACTAATGTATTCTGTGAAGGAAAACTATAGTTGCACATCGCTGATCACTCTATTGAAGCAAAAAGAAACACTCTTGACTTTCAATATAAAACGCGACCCCTGTTAATACACAGCTGGACTGACCTGCTCCCGCTTTCTCCCGTTGTGCTATTTATAAACAAACACGTGACTGGCTCAACTGTTGTGGGGAACTATGGTAATCTTCATAATGAAAAATAATGTGACGGGTGAAATGAAGAACACAATCTGGTTTCTCTTAACGTATTGCACAAGTTGACTGCAGGTATTTACTTAAAAAGTAGCTACAAATATAAAAATGTATTGAAAAACTTCAATAGTATTGACAGTATTGAAAAACCATCCCGTGGCTATTTCCAAATACCCCGGTATAAGGTATATACAGTATACCGCCTAAGCTTATCATCCAGAAGTACTTGTCCTCTATTCTACAAGCCTTTTGCACTACACACCATATTTTCAAGGAGGGGGGTAGTGTTGCCAGGAGGGACCGTTGCCAAGGGGATGGTTGCCAGGGCAGTGAGGTGCCAGGAGCCTGTCAAAAGCTAGGCTGCTCCAGGAGCATTATTACAGCCACTTAACTTATTGAGCCGTTCTCCTCCACTGCTCCCTCTCTCCTCCCTATCCCCCCATCCCCAGGGAGAGAGGGAAACAAGGGAAACGCAGAGAGACTTAGATTGTGTGTGTGTGTGTGTGTGTGTGGATCACGAGGGTGCATGTTTCGGCAGTGCTCAGTATGGATCGGTGCCAACTGGGTGACATTGAGGAAAGACATAGAAGAAGAGATTCATGTGATACAGCCAAAGGAGATACAAGCTGAGTACAGAGGGATGGAGATAGTATTGAAAGAGTGATAGACATGAAAGAAAAAGACATGGAGATTAGTTTCTAGATGGGTGGATAGAAAATAATGGAGAGAAGTTAAGAAAATATGCAAATGCAATGAAATGGGGGGATAGGGTGATGAGATGGAGAGGAGGAGTGATTTCGAAAAGAAGTGATGGATCAGAAGACCGTGATGGAGATGGATCACAAGAGAGGGCGATGGAGAGAGACTGAGTGAGGGAGAGAGAGATGGAGAGGTAGATGAGTGGAGGAGGCAGAAGCACATTGACTCCAGGACCTCTGTTTGGCAGAAACGTTGATAATGATTATAATGATGATTATGATGATAATGATTGTGTTATGAGTGTTTAGCATTCTCATCATTAGCAGTATGTACACACACACATGCACGTACTCTCACATAAACATACACTACCAGTCAAAAGTTTGAACACACCTACTCATTCAAGGGTTTGTCTTTATTTTTACGTTGTAGAATAATAGTGAAGACATCAAAACTATGAAATAACACATATGGAATCATGTAGTAACCAAAAAAGTGTTAAACAAATTTTCTTCAAATAGCCACCCTTTGCCTTGATGACAGCTTTGCACACTCTTGGCATTCTCTCAACCAGCTTCACCTGGAATGCTTTTCCAACAGTCTTGAAGGAGTTCCCACATATGCTGAGCACTTGTTGGCTGCTTTTCCTTCACTCTGCAGTCCGACTCATCCCAAACCATCTCAATTGGGTTGAGGTTGGGGGATTGTGGAGGCCAGGTCATCTGATGCAGCACTCCATCACTCTACTTCTTGCTCAAATAGCCCTTACACAGCCTGGAGGTGTGTTGAGTCTCTTCTTATTATTGGTGTCCTTCAGTAGTGGTTTCTTTGCAGCAATTTCACCATAAATGCCTGATTCACACAGTCTCCTCTGAACAGTTGATGTTGAGATGTGTCTGTTACTGGAACTCTGTGAAGCATTTATTTGGGCTGCAAGTTCTGAGGCTGGTAACTCTAATGAACTTATCCTCTGCAGCAGAGGTAACTCTGGGTCTTCCATTCCTATGGCGGTCCTCATGAGAGCCAGTTTCATCATAGCGCTTGATGGTTTTTGCAACTGCACTTGAATAAATTTTCAAAGTTATTGAAATGTTCCATATTGACTGACCTTCATGTCTTAAAGTAAAGATGGACTGTTGTTACTCTTTGCTTATTTGCGCTGTTCTTGCCATAATATGGACTTGTTTTTTTTAACCAAATAGGGCTATCTTCTGTATACCCCCCTTGTCACAACACAACTGATTGGCTCAAACGCATTAAGAAGGAAAGAAATTCCACAAATTAACTTTTAACAAGGCACACCTGTTAATTGAAATGCATTACAGGTGACTACCTCATGAAGCTGGTTGAGAGAATGCCAAGAGTGTGCAAAGCTGTCATCAAGGCAAAGGGTGGCTATTTGAAGAATCTCAAATATAAAATATGTTGATTTGTTTAACACTTTTGGTTACTACATGATTCCATATGTGTTATTTAATTGTTTTGATGTCTTCACTATTATTCTACAATATAGAAAATAGTAAAAATAAAGAAAATCCCTGGAATGAGTAGGTGTGTCCAAACTTTCTACTAGTATTGTACATACACACACTCATTCACATGCATGCACACACACACTAATTATTCACATGAGGTTGTCTGGTCAGAGGCACGGTTTCCGTAAACGTGTATCATAGCGTTTCATTATCCAAATACTTTTGTTAGTATCCTATCTCCCTAATCATTGATCTAAGTGAAACCTAGAATCAACTACACATATCCAGTTATGCCACTTCAGTGATTACTCCAAGGAAGGGTGGAAGGAACACAGTATTTTAATAGTCCTATTATCTTGAATATATGTAGATTGGTGGCCATTTGGACCTAGCATTTGCTCATTATCTCTATGGTTGGCTAGGTAACAGGATTTAACCCTCCCGTTGTCCTAGGGTCAAAATGACCCGCCACTGTGTTGAACCAACTTTATTAAATTTTTATATTTTGGGGATCATTTGTGAGAAGGAGGCAGTGAGACTTTAAAGAAAGTATCACTGCCTCCTTCTCACAAATGATCCAAAAAATATAAAAATTAAATAAAGTTGGTTCAACACAGTGGCGGGTCATTTGACCCTAGGACAACGGGAGGGTTAATATAGGATAGGCAGGTTTATGTTCCAGTCTTGGAATGTTTCAACATTAGTCCTGTAGATATAATTGGAGCGCTACGTGATTTTATGTAATGAGAATATGGCGGGAGGTCGGCGGTACTACCATTCCATAATGACAACTGTCTCTTCATAGCCACCATACACACACACACACCTCCTACACACTCCCTGGTCTGCAGTCTCTGCCACAGTCTCATGTCATAATGGGATTCTGATTGTGGATCCAATTTGTTTCTGCAGTGGCAGAATCCTTCTGATTAGACCACACAGACAGACAGACAGACACACACACTCTGCAGACAAGGGGCGTGGTGTGGGATGTGCACAGGAACGTGTGTCAGAGGAGAGTAAAGGAAGGGTTTTATGCAGCGAGAGTGGCCAACTTTAGCGATGTATACCATGGTTTCTAGTTGCCACTAGTAACCGGATCTGTTTGTGATTTAGCCATCTCCTCTGTGGTTTGTTGTTATACCATACATGTACATAATGTATATGGTATAACAATGAACAACTGGGGAGTTTGCCAAAGAATCTGGCCACTAAGCTACAGTAGTAGCAACATGCCATGGCAACCAAGCTACTGTACAGGTGTAGGATCTTAATTTGATCACGCTTTTGTTGCTGATTATTTTACTTTACCGCAGGAAATGCAGATGAGCTTAGTGATTTACATAAATTCACTGAAAGCACACACTAACACACGGTTTTATTAACAGTATTGCACTTTTCATGTAGCCTACGTTTGGCCAGCTAATAGCCTAACCACAGATCAAGCAAAAATATGGACAAAAATGTCAATCCTGATGCTGCAGGATTATTTTATTTTGCCCCCCCCCCGTAATTACCTGTTGATGTTGGAAGTGCGTAAGGACCATGTGAAGTTCTGGAGACCCCAGGTGTTGCTGATGGTGTCTAACCCTCGTAGCAGTGTAGGTCTCATCACCTTCATCAACGACATCAAGAAGAGTGGTCTCTATGTCCTGGGACATGTACAGCTAGGAGACCTGGGTAAGAGGAAACACGGAGGCGTTGGGTTTTTAAGATTAAAGAAGCCTTTTACATTTCACTTCCATTATTCTCCAAGAGTGGCTGTCACGCTCGTTTAAGGACGGATCAGACCAAGGCGCAGCGTGAAATGCATACATGTTTATTTCAACGATAAACACACGAACAAAACAACAAACCAACGTAACGTGAAGTCCTCAGGCTAAACACAAAACAAGCCTCACACGGAACAAGATCCCACAACCCATGATTGCCAATAGGCTGCCTAAGTATGATCTCCAATCAGAGACAACGAGCGACAGCTGCCTCTGATTGGGAACCACACCCGGCCAAACATAGAACTACACAACCTAGAATGCAACATAGAAATACTAACATAGAATCTCCACACCCTGACTCAACATACAAGAGTCCCATGAGTCAGGACGTGACAGTACCCCCCCCGCCCAAAGGTGCGGACTCCGACCGCACCAACCTGACATGACAGGGAAGGGTCCGGGTGGGCATTCCGCCTCGGAGGTGGATCCGGCTCCGGGCGTGACGACCACATTCTCTCAGCCTCCCCGTTACGCCCCTGGTCTGGTCTGGACCTCGGCGCGCTGCTTCCCCTCTCCTACCCTGGTGTGGGAGATCCCGAACCTGGAGAGGGGCTGACGTCTGGGTCTGGACTGGAGCCGCTGACCGGAGCTGGACTGGGCACCGGTGGAGCGGACTGCTCTGGCTCCGGACTGGAGCCGCTGACCGGAGCTGGACTGGGCACCGGTGGAGCGGACTGCTCTGGCTCCGGACTGGAGCCGCTGACCGGAGCTGGACTGGGCACCGGTAGAGCGGACTGCTCTGGCTCCGGAGTAGAGCTGCTGACCGGAGCTGGACTGGGCACCGGTGGAGTGGACTGCTCTGGCTCCGGAGTACAGCTGCTGACCGGAGCTGGACTGGGCACCGGTGGAGCTGCTGACCGGAGCTGGACTGGACCCCGGTGGAGTGGACTGCTCTGGCTCCGGAGTGGAGCAGCTGACCGGAGCTGGATCAGGCACCGGTGGAACGGGCACGGGCCGTGCCGGACCAGACACACGCACCACTGGTCTGGTGCGAGGAGCAGGTACGGGCCAGACCGGACTAGGAACACGCACCACTGGCTTGGTGCAAGGAGCAGGAACGGGCCGGGCCAGACTGGGAACAAGCACCACTGGCTTGGTGCAGGGAGCAGGCACGGGCCGGGCCGGACTAGGAACACGCACCACTGGCCTGGTGCGAGGAACAGGAACGGGCCGGGCCGGACTGGGAGCATGCACCACTGGCTTGGTGCGAGGAACAGGAACGGGCCGGACTGGCGACACGCACCACTAGCTTGGTGCGAGACACAGGCACGAGGTGTACCGGACTGGGAACTGACGTTAGAGATCTCCGACTGTACCAGTCTTTCACTCTCCGCGCCCAGTCCTCCTCCCGTGAGGACTCCTCCCTGAGCCCCCACGAGTGCAGTGGTTGGGGCTCTTCTCCCATGTCCAGGATCCCTTTCCGTCCAGGATCTCCTCCCATGTCCAGGATGTCTGCTCCTGGGCACGCTGCTTGGTCCATTTTTGGTGGGATCTTCTGTCACGTTCGTTTAAGGACGAGTCAGACCAAGGCGCAGCGTGAAATGCGTACATGTTTATTACAACGATAAACACACGAACAAAACAACAAACCAACGAAACGTGAAGTCCTAAGGCTAAACACAAAACAAGCTGACACACGGAACAAGATCCCACAACCCATGATTGCCAATAGGCTGCCTAAGTATGATCCCCAATCAGAGACAACGAGCGACAGCTGCCTCTGATTGGGAATCACACCCGGCCAAACATAGAACTACACAACCTAGAATGCAACATAGAAATACTAACATAGAATCTCCACACCCTGACTCAACATACAAGAGTCCCATGAGTCAGGGCGTGACAGTGGCTGAATACCTCCCACTCATCCATTGCAATTCAGGCTTCTTGGTGAATGTCTAGCAGAATTGTGTTAGACTGAATTGAAGTCAAACCAATGTTTGAAGAAGTATATCTCTGACTTGGCTAGTGCAGTACAGTAACTAAAGCTACAGTTGAAGTTGGATGTTTACATACACCTTAGCCAAATATATTTAAACTCAATTTTTCACAATTCCTGACATTTAATCCTTTAGCAGAAATCAATCATGCCCCCGCTCTCTCTTATCAGTCTCGAAGCTCAGTCTTTCAGGGAGTGTGCGCCGTAGCAGCGATAGTACGGGCTTACATAGTAGTGGATAGTACAGCCAGCATTAGTATAGCCAGCACAGGAGACTCACACTCCCATATACAGTTGAAATCGGAAGTTTACATACACCTTAGCCAAACACATTTAAACTCAGTTTTTCACAATTCCTGACATTTATTCCTAGTAAAAATTCCCTGTTTTAGGTCAGTTAGGATCACCACTTTATTTTAAGGATGTGAAATGTCAGAATAATAGTAGAGAGAATGATTTATTTCAGCTTTTATTTATTTCATCACATTCCCAGTGGGTCAGAAGTTTACATACACTCAATTAGTATTTGGTTGCATTGCCATTAAATTGTTTAACTTGGGTCAAACGTTTCGGGTAGCCTTCCACAAGCTTCCCACAATAAGTTGGATTAATTTTTTTGTCCCATTCCTCCTGACAGAGCTGGTGTAACTGAGTCAGGTTTGTAGGCCTCCTTGCTCACACACGCTTTTTCAGTTCTGCCCACACATTTTCTATAGGATTGAGGTCAGGGCTTTGTGATGGCCACTCCAATACCTTTTGCCACAACTTTGGAAGTATGCTTGGGGTCATTGTCCATTTGGAAGACCCATTTGTGACCAAGCTTTAACTTCCTGACTGATGTCTTGAGATATTGCTTCAATATATCCACATAATTTTACTTCCTCATGATGCCATCTATTTTGTGAAGTGCACCAGTCCCTCCTGCAGCAAAGCACCCCCACAGCATGATGCTGCCACCCCCGTGCTTCACGGTTGGGATGGTGTTATTCGGCTTGCAAGTACCCCCTTTTTCCTCCAAACATAACGATGGTCATTATGGCCAAACAGTTCTATTTTTGTTTCATCAGACCAGAGGACATTTCTCCAAAAAGTACGATCTTTGTCCACATGTGCCGTTGCAAACCGTAGTCTGGCTTTTTTATAGCGGTTTTGGAGCAGTGGCTTCTTCCTTGCTGAGTGGCCTTTCAGGTTATGTCAATATAGGACTCATTTTACTGTGGATATAGATACTTTTGTACCCGTTTCCTCCAGCATCTTCACAAGGTCCTTTGCTGTTGTTCTGGGATTGATTTGCACTTTTCGCACCAAAGAACGCGTCTCCTTCCTGAGCGGTGTGCCGGCTGCGTGGTCCCATGGTGTTTATACTTGCGTGCTATTGTTTGTACAGATGAACGTGGTACCTTCAGGCGTTTGGAAATTGCTCCCAAGGATGAACCAGACTTGTGGAGATCTACCATTTTTTTTCTGAGGTCTTAGCTGATTTCTTTTGATTTTCCCATGATGTCAAGCAAAGAGGCACTGACTTTGAAGGTAGGCCTTGAAAAACATCTACAGGTACACCTCCAATTGACTCAAATTATGTCAATTAGCCTATCAGAAGCTTCTAAAGCCATGACATCATTTTATGGAATTTTCCAAGCTGTTTGAAGGCACAGTCAACTTAGTGTATGTAAACTTCTGACCCACTGGAATTGTGATACAGTGAATTATAAGTGAAATAATCTGTCTGTAAACAATTGTTGGAAAAATTACTTGTCATGCACAAAGTAGATGTCCTAACCGACTTGCCAAAACTATAGTTTGTTAACAAGAAATTTGTGGAGTGGTTGAAAAACAAGTTTTAATGACTCCAACCTAAGTGTATTTAAACTTTCGACTTCAACTGTATATGTGTGGTAAGCCAGGCTGCTTACCAGTGTGCGAGAATGGTGTGACAAACAAAAAACATCCAGAAAACCGCTCGTTGATGAGGTTGAAGGTGAAAGCAAGAATCGTGCAAGCTAACAGGCGGGCCACAAACGGGCAAATAACGGTGCAATATAACAGTGGTGTGCACCAGCGGTTCCAAACTTTTTCACTCAGGCCTCCCTTCCAGCATTGGGGAACATCCTACGCTAACCCCTCGCGCCCACACCGTTTGGGAACCACTGCAGAATGGCATCTCGGAATGCACAACTCGTTGGTCCTTGTCACGGATGGGCTATTGCAGCAGACGAACACACTGGGTTCCAGTCCTATCAGCTAAAAACAAGAAGAAGCGGCTCCAGTGAGCACGCGATCTCCAACACTGGAGAATTGAGGAGTGGAAAAACGTAACCTGGTCCGACGAATCCTGGGGAATGTTTTCCTGGCACACGTTAGGTCCCTTGATACCAATTGAGCAACGATTCCATGCCCCAAATCATTCAGGCTATTCTGGATGCATAGGGGGGTCCGACCCGGTACTCGATGGGTGTACCTAATCAACTGACCACTTAGTGTAGGTGTGTGTGTGTAGTGCTATATGGTGTCCTGTGATCAGGCTGTTCTCTGGACAGCCATATGATATAGTGTAACTTTTATCTTGACAAGACTTTCAGTGGTGTCAGAGCGCCTCCATTATTGACAGGCCCAGCCTCTTTCTCTCTCTCTCTTTTTTTTTTTTTTTCTCTCTTTCTTTTTTCTCTTCTCTCTCTTTTTTTTTTCTCTCTTCTTTTTCTCTTCTCTTCCTCTCTCTTTCTCCGTCTCTCTCTGTGTTTCTCTCTCTTTCTCTCGTTCTCTCTCTCTGGTTCTCTCTCTTCGTGTCTCTCTCTTCTTTCTCCCTTTCTCTCTCTCTCTCTGTCTTCTCTTCTCTCGTGTCTCTTCTTCTCTCTCTCTCGTGCTGTCTCGTGTCTCTCTCTTTCTCTCTCTCTCGTGTCTCTCTCTCTCTTCTCTCTTTCTCTCTCTCTCGTGTCTCTCTCTCTCTCGTGTCTCTCTCTTTCTCTCTCTGTGTCTCTCTCTCTCTTGTGTCTCTTGTCTGTCTGTAGCTCTTGTTATGTTCTTCTGTGGCACACTGCCCAATCAGGTCACTACACAGAGAAAGAACTTCATCTCTTATTCTCTGAGGACTTGGCAGATAATGGCCCCTGGCCAAAATGTTTGCACAGATATTGATGTTTTGTTTCTCTCTCTCTCTCTCAGACACGTTACCGTCCGACCCTCTCCAGTGTCGTTATGACTCGTGGTTGTCTCTGGTGTACCACCTCAACATCAAGGCATTTGTCAACCTCACCCTGGCTGACTCGGTACGGCACGGGGTTCAACATCTACTCTTCATCTCTGGCCTAGGTCAGTGATTCTATTCACTACTCTCTGATATCATGTATTAGCTATAACTCTGCCCCACCTGTCACTCATACACACCTCTTTTACCATCTCACCCATTCACTCATCTCTCCATCTTTCCATCCCTCTCTGTCTCTCTAGGTGGGATGAGGCCCAACACCTTGGTCCTGGGTTTCTATGATGACTGCACCCCCAAAGACAAACTCACTGACCCCGCCCTCGCAGATGCCACCATCCCCACTCAGGACCCCGAGGACGAACGCCCGCCCTACCACTTCCCCGCCCTGCGGCCGTCCAATGATGGCAAGGAGGGGGGGAATGGAGAAAACGGAAAAGTCATGGGACCCCAAGAATACGTGGCGGTGATCGCAGACGCCATGAAGATGTTGAAGAACGTAGCGCTAGCCCGCTACTTCCACCAGTTCGACCGGGCCTCGACCATCTCCTCGTCCCCAGGGAAGGGTGCTCTGTATGTGGACATTTGGCCCGTCAACCTGCTGAGACCAGACAGCTCCAGCTATATAGACACCTGCTCTCTTTTCCTGCTCCAGCTCGCCTTGCGTCCTAAACATGGTCTGCGCATGGCACCATGCTAGACTCCGCCTCTTTCTGTGTGTGGAAGAAGGGCGGAGCCTGCGGTGCTCTGAGGAGAAGCTGGGTCAGCTGCTGAAGGAGCTGAGGATCAAAGCCAACGTGTACACAGTGCCCTGGGACCAGCAGGTGGCGCTACACTGGCAGAGGCAGGGTGAGGTGGGCAAGAGGAGCAACGCCACAAGGCTGTCGGAGGAGTATCTGTCGGTGGTTAATAGGTTGATCCTGGAGCAGGCCCGCCCCCCTCCGGCCGTGGGTTTCCTGTATTTGCCCCGCCCCCCGACTGACACGCACCGCTACACGGCCTACCTGCGCCAGCTGGACCTGCTCACCAAGGACCTGGGTCCTACCCTGCTCATACACAGGTTACACCTGTGCTCACCACCGACCTCTAGCCCCCGAACTCTAACCCTAAACTCTCACCAGCTGACCCCTGATGAAACCCTTATTTCATCCCCTTACCAAATTGCTGCAGGTAGAAGTGGTACTTAGACAAAGGTCAAGGATCCACTTACCTTCCCCAAAGCTGTACTAATATACACTATATATACAAAAGTATATGGACACCCCTTCAAATTAGTGGATTCGGCTATTTCAGCCACACCCGTTGCTGACAGGTGTATAAAATCGAGCACACAGCCATGCAATCTCCATGGACAAACATAGGCAGCAGAATGACCCATACTGAAGAGATCAGTGACTTTCAATGTGGCACTGTCATAGGATGCCACCTTTTCAACAAGTCAGTTCGTAAAATTTCTGCACTTCCCCAGTTAACTGTAAGTGCTGTTATTGTGAAGTGGAAACGTCTAGGAGCAACAATGGCTCAGCCGCGAAGTGGTAGGCCAAAGAATCTCACAGAACGGGACCGCCGAGTGCTGAGGCGCAAAGCGCGTAAAAATGGTCTGTTCTCGGTTGCAACACTCACTACTGAGTTCCAAACTGCCTCTGGAAGCAATGTCAGCACGAGCTGTTCGTCGGGAGCTTCATGAAATGGGTTTCCATGGCCGAGCAGCCACACACAAACCTAAGATCTTCATGCGCAATGCCAAACGTCGGCTGGAGTGGTGTAAATCTCGCCGCCATTTGACTCTGGTGCAGTGGAAACGCGTTCTCTGGCAGTCCGACAGATGAATCTGGGTTTGGCGGATGCCAGGAGAATGCTGCCTGCCCGAATGCAGAGTGCCAACTGTAAAGTTTGGTGGAGGAGGAATAATGGTCTGGGGCTGTTTTTTATGGTTCGGGCTAGGCCCCTTAGTTCCAGTGAAAGGAAATCTTAATGCTACAGCATACAATGACATTCTAGACGATTCTGTGCTTCCAACTTTGTGGCAACAATTTGGCAAAGGCCCTTTCCTGTTTCAGCATGACAATGCCCCCGTGCACAAAGCGAGGTCCATACAGAAATGGTTTTTCGAGATCGGTGTGGAAGAACTTGACTGGCCTGCACAGAGCCCTGACCTCAACCCCATCGAACACCTTTGGAATTAATTGGAACACTGACTGCGAGCCAGGCTTAATTGCCCAACATCAGTGCCCGACCTCACTAATGTTCTTGTGGCTGAATGGAAGCATGTCCCCCATAGCAATGTTCCAACAACTAGTGGAAAGCCTTCCCAGTATAGTGGAGGCTGTTATAGCAGCAAAGGGGGGACCAACTCCATATTAATGCCCATGCTTTTGGAATGAAACCTTTGACGAGCAGATGTCCACATACTTTTGGTTCCCCTATCCTCTTTATGAATATGGAAGGGTTGCACTGGCCAAAAAGCTAAAAAGTTAATAATAATATATTGATTTTACTCCTTCAGAGGGACTGAAGTCTGATGACACTCTGCCAAGTCATTGGAGCTCAGTAAAATGTTTTATTTTCTGAAATAAAGTATTTTATACAAAATCAGAAACATGTGACCTTAAAAGTTTACAGTTCAAATATGATAATCCAGCGATCTGTTTTATGGAACTATCTATTTATAGCAACAACAACAAAAAATACTTTAAACAAATTTAAGAAATTTATTTAGGTGCTCTTGATCTTTTTTTTCCTTTTAGAAATATTTTCCTTTGTACTGTTATGACTATGTATTAGTGACTGAACCAATCAGAATGCCAAAGTGCCCTTGTGTACCTGGGTGTAGCAGACATTGCACACTCCTCATGTAGGCTTCAGGACCAGTAGTTTCCTTCACCAGGACAAACTCCTGGACCAACTCTAGTCGGCTCCTCTACATGGAATCCCATGGATGTTTACTGAAGGGATGTCTATTCTATATAGATCTATCTCATCTCCATGGAGCCCTTCTATTGGACACCACTCCTATGCAAAGAATGCTGGGATATGACAGGTCCTATGCATCTCAATTACTTTTGCTGGAACACACACATACAGGTAAATGACACATTTTAAAAGCACCATCCAAATCATTATATTTTAAAGTGTATATTGTAATTGAATAAAGAAGCTGTTTTGTGAAGGTTCTGTGTGTTGTCTTTATTTTCATTTCACTGTGTCATCATTGTGCATTAGTTGTGAGTAATGTATCTAAACCTAGTTGAAGTGTTGATTGATGTGTCCATATTCAGGGCCGTAACTATACTCTACTAAAATATAAACGCAACATGTAAAATGTTGGTCCCATGTTTCATGAGTTGAAGTAAAATAACCCAGAAATGTTCCATACGCACAAAAAGCTTATTTTTCTAAATTTTTGACCTCAAATGTATTTACATCCCTGTTAGTGAGCATTTCTCCTTTGCCAAAATAATCCAACCACCTGACAGGTGTGGCATATCAAAAAGCTGATTAAACAGCATTATCATTACACAGGTGCACCTTGTGATGGGGCAATAAATGGCCACTCAAAAATGTGCAGTTTTGACACACAACACAATGCCACAGATGTCTCAAGTTTTGAGGTAGTGAACAATTGGCATGCTGACTGCAGGAATGTCCACCAGAGCTGTTGCCAGAGAATTGAATGTTAATTTCTCTACCATAAATCAAATGTTATTTTATTCGTCACATGCGCCAAATACCACGTGTAGACCTTACAGTGAAATGCTTACTTACAAGCCCTTAACCAACAATGCAGTTTTAAGAAAGAATACTCAAACAAATCACACACAAAAATACAATGTAAAATAATACGAAATAAAAGAAACAAATAATTAAAGAGCAGCAGTAAAAATAACAATAGCGAGGCTATATAAAGGGGATACCGGTATGGCGGTTAGTCGAGGTAATTGAGGTAATATGTACATGTAGGTGGAGTTAGCCGCTTCCAACATGGTTTTAGAGAATGTGTATGTCCAACTGATGCAGACCACATGTAACCATGCCAGCCCAGGACCTCCACATCCGGCTTCTTCACCTGCAGGACCATTGGCTGATGTCACCTTTATGAACAGAGTGTAGGTGGTGAGGTTATGATATGGGCAGGCATAAGCTACTGACAACGAACACAATTGCATTTTATCGATGGCAATTTGAATGCACAGAGATACCCTGATGAGATCGTGATGAGATCCTGAGGCCCATTGTCGTGCCATTCATCAGCTGCCATCACATGTTTCAGCATGATAATGCAATGATCTGTACACAATTTCTGGACGCTGAAAATTTCCCAGTTCTTCCATGGCCTGCATACTCACCAGACATGTCACCCATTGAGCATATTTGGGATGCTCTGGGTCGACGTGTACGACAGCATGTTCCAGTTCCCGCCAATATCCAGCAACTTCGCACAGCCAATGAAGCCGAGCGGGACAACACTCCACAGGCCACAATCAACTGCCTGATCAACTCTATGCGGAGATGTGTCACGCTGCATGAGGCAAATGATGGTCACACCAGATACTGACTGGTTTTCTGATCCACCTTTTTTTAAAGGTATCTGTGAAGAACAGATGCATATCTGTATTCCAAGTCATGTGAAATTCATAGATTAGGGCCTTTTGAATTTATTTAAATTGACTGATTTCCTTATATGAACTGTTGATTGTTGCGTTTATATTTTTGTTCAGTGTACATATAAGGACACCGAGGTCCGGACCTCAGCAATTTTTTCTAATTTGAAAAAAAATCTTCATAAAAATATATGTATTGTACAGTAAAGCAAATAAATTACTGGTCAACGTCAACACCTAAATATTTCTCCAGCGTTGATCAAAGCTCAGAACGCGTATATTCTTGATCTGATTTAGTTCTACACGCGCCTGCCTCTTTGCGAACGAGTGGAATCATGAACAGTATTCTGTTCGTTATGTTCGCCTGCGTCCCCCGGATTAGGCTTTTTAGCAGCACAGGCCGAAGGCTTGAGACGTGAAACGAACTACCCCAGCTGGAGAGAGCGAGTCGGCTCAAGTAGAGACGCTGCTGACAGTGTGTATGCGAGATGCTGGACAAAAAGCAATTTTAAAACCATCCCGCGACTCCTGCGGCGTCTATAGACATCCCTCACAAAACAAACAAAACCGCCTCGCGGAGAATGAGTGCACAACTGGTAAATAGTCACTTATAGATAGATAGTCAGTCAGGTGGCTATCTGCCGGCAGTGACTTCTATTAAATGTTAAAATGGCATTGGCTAGTATTACTTAGGCAGCTAGAAGGATTAAGTAAGCTAACGTTAAACGGAGACTACTGTCGTATCGAGTAAATGCTGGCAATTATTGCTGATAAACAAAGGAGTCCGCTCATACTGAACCTTGATCATAAGTTTATTCATATCACAAGCTTTCAGCATAAGTTTTACAGGTGTCATGCCCACCCGGAGAGCGACGTCCCAGATTGCAATGGTCGCTCTAACCTCTTCTTCGTCCAGCATATACTTATAAACAATGCAAAAATATGGGTTGCTCCCTCTGCTGTCCAATCACCTGTCTCCCCTGGGGCGTCACCCTACAAATGGCTACTTTTGAACTAAGATAAACATCCGTTCAGTTCCACATGAAAAACATTAACAAAGACATAATCCTAATACACTACACTACCTCAGCAGGTGCAAAAACTAGCCTACTAAATTCTCATATTAACTTTGCTTTAAAGAGAGTAGGCTACTGAGACAGACAGTGATGTGGCGCTCAGTGGTGAAGCTGACTACTAAAACTGAAGGAGGCTGCAATGCATGCAGGAGAAGCAGAGGAGTAAGGAAGCAAGCAGAGAGAGAGCTTAGTTCAGTGGTGGTTCCCAAAATTGGGGTCGGGGTCCCCTGAGAAAATCTGTACTCAATATGAACATCTCCACATCTTCCCTATAGGCCTAAGCATACATCAAAATGCGAACAATACAGTTCCAAAAATGTTTTTGTTTATATCGGTGGTTATCTCTCAATCGCCCACTGGAGTTTATAGTGTACCCATTACCCACCCTTTTTTACCACTACATCACTGATATTAATACAGAATCATAAGTAATATTCTAATAATTCATGTGGATGTGCTAATACGATTTTCTGCGGGCTCCATTGATGTCTGTTTGTGTGGTGCTGTATTAGTAATGCCTATAATACAAATATTAACGCCAGTGGAGGCTGGTGGGAGGAGCTATAGGAGGACGGAGTCAAACGTGGTTTCCATATGTTTGATGTGTTTGATACCGTTCCATTTATACCATTCCAGCCATTACAATGAGCCCGTCCTCTTATAGCTCCTCCCACCAGTCTCCACTGATGAACTCTTTGCAATTGAGAAAAGAGATATCTATGTAAAGAGTTGATGATTTTATGCAATTCATCATTACAACTGACTGCTCTGTCGTAGCCAGCCGCGACCGGGAGACCCATGGGGCGGCGCGCAATTGGCCCAACGTCGTCCAGGGTAGGGGAGGGAATGGCCGGCAGGGATGTAGCTCAGTTGGTAGAGCATGGCGTTTGCAACGCCAGGGTTGTGGTTTCGATTCCCACGGGGGGCCAGTATGAAAAATAAAAAAATTATGTATGCACTCACTAACTGTAAGTCGCTCTGGATAAGAGCGTCTGCTAAATGACTAAAATGTAAATGTAAATGAGCAGTCGCTGATGCTACATGTCAGTGTGAATAATTTTAACTCAAACCCTGGTTATGGCCCTCCCTATGGCAACCTCTGGGTGTGTCAAGGTTAATTAGTTAATGTGCCTTGTGCCAACTGTGCTGTGTTTTTTCAAATAAACTAGACTTGGATGGAGAGATGGGAAGCTCCAGTCCAGACAGAGAGACACAGCCAACATTTCCAGCCAGCCAAATTGCCCTGTTCCCCTAGCTGGCAACTATAAAATAAATGGAGGTAAGGTAAGGGAGAGATTTGAAAAATTACCCAACATAACCATGAATATCTGGTCAGAAAATGGAGCTGAACAGTGATTGAGATAAAGAGCCACACTTTGAAAGTGCTTTAGAAGACATGGTATTTGGTGTAAGATTTCTCTATTTGCCCTGAAAAGGTCAAAGGAAGTATGTGACTTGTGTAATGTGTTTGTATGATCAGAGAGCCTCAATTTCCTCTGACAGTTTTAAAACCTGACATGAGAAATCTTATTGCTCTGGGATAGTAGGAAATAGGGAGAGTGAAGGAGAGGGGGAAAGAGGGAGTGCAGCAAGAACGGATGGGGTATGTTTCCCAGGGGCTTGTGTGTGTGTGTGTGTGTGTGTGTGTGTGTGGGCGCGTATGTCTCTCTCACTGTTAGGGTCCTGGCTATGTGTGGGGGTGTTGCGGAGCCCCTAGTGTATAACAGACTTGAAACCCTGTTTAGAGGGACAACATGTCACACTCACCAAGACTCACACTGCCAACCCCTGACCACTGGGCACACCACAGGGAGACATATTGTCTACATACGCCTCTGATCACTT